TATATTTATATATTTTTCCTACTTTACGTAAAGAATATATATTATTTGTATTCATTTTGCACTGTGAAACCATATTTTCTTTGTATAAAATATTTCCTATTCACAAGTCCAAGCAATCATTCGAAAATAAATAATAAACGTTAGCCCAGCTAATATACCCGATATCGGTAAGGGCATAAAACGGCAACGAAGCGGCCACGCAGCATAAATAAAATGCCAGGCTAAATAAAAAGCAAACAGGACGCAACGTGGCCAACCCTTTTTGCTTTTGGCCAGCTTGAGTTGTGCTCGCCCACCCCCACACACCACACACCACACACCACATAGCACACTCCACCCACCAGCCACCACTGCCCATCACCACTCCCCTCCCCGTAGCCCAACATCTTCCCTTTTATATGCTGCGCATCCTTGTCGCTTGTGTCCACCTCGAGAAAGAAATTCAAAATTATGGAGTCGCCTTTGTCCTTGCCGTTCTCGGGCTGCGCTGCTCTGCGCCTCGTACGCGCTCGTCTGTTATCCTTGTCGTGCGTGGACAGCCTCTCTTTCTTCATGCCGCTGCTGCTGCTATTTCTTCTGCTCGCTGCTCGCTGCTGCTGCTGCTGCTGCTCCTGCTGCTGCTGCCAGGAGCTGGGCTGGTCAGTGTGTGGACATTAAAATGCGTAAATTTGCAAAAGCAATGGCTATATGTGTGTGTGTGTGTGCTGCTATCTACCTCTGCATGGAACAGTGGGCAAAAACTCAAATACATGCCTGTTATATTATTATTGTTATTGATTTCCATTTTGTACAGTTAACAATCTCATATTTGAAATTAATTTGATTAACTCATGCTAAATTCAGCTCAATTTGCTAAATTAAAATTAATTAACTAAATGAAATTCACTTCTATTTGATTATAAACAAATGGAAATTGAAGAGTTTTCTAACAGAAATATTTGATAAGCAAGCTTCTTTGCTGTTAAGTCACTGTTAGTCAGCTATAACTATTCATGCTCGACTTAAAATCTAAACATTTCCAGAAAAAGAGTTAACATATATACATTTGACTACACTTAACAGTTTATTGTATGTTATGCCACTGTTAAAGTGAAAGTTTTACCGTGTCATACTACAAATAAATATCTGAGCTCTAATAAATATATTTACATAACAGTTTATTTATATCCTCTCATATTGGTATTATGTCGCGATGTTTGATACACAGCAAAGCAACTGTTAAGCCGCTGTAAAGCATATGTTAACTAACTCAACAGCTTCTTCTATTCTATGCACAATACGACAAATTTGTACCATGGTTGTGAAAGTGAAAGTGAAAACGAGCCAAAGCGCCGTTGGGCCATTGCCTGGCATATCCTGGCATCTCCTGGCCAGCCGGGCAGATGATTGCTGGCATTGCGTGCGTTGCATGAAGCAATTCAATCGTCGCATTCGGGCTCGATGTTGCATATGCTGTACACACTCGCCACACCCGCCACACACACCCAATCAATTGACCTTTTTAAGCGAGCTGTTGCTCCCTTTTGCTGCCACACACACACACCCACACACATACCCACATACACACTCCAGTCAAGCTGTAATATGATTTACTGATCTGCCTGTCTGGTTTTTTTTTTTTTTTTTTCTTTTTACTTTCGGGCTGTTAGCTGATTGCTGGGCTGGGACTTTGATTTTAGACAGTCTTAAAGCAGTTGCGTAATTGGTTAGCTTCAATGTAGGCTATAGATATAAATATAGGTATTTACATTTAAAGTTGACTTGAGTTAGATGACATATTCAACTAAGCTTCTATGTTAAGAACAGCATTGAAAGTCCAAGATTGGGCATTTAATGAATATACTCTCTACAGAAGACCCATTTCATTACACGCAGAGAGGTATTCACATAATCAGCCTGAATTTGGCAGACAAGTCACGATAATTCAGAATGGCAAGAGATCAGTTTTTTTTTTTTCGATTTACACAGAAATTCAAATTATCGAGAATTATTCAGAACGAATTTTTTTAGATTTATCGGGATTTTCGAAATAATTTCGGGGTACAAATTATTGA